ATGTTGGTATCCAGCGCTGGAGACAGCTCTTGGCGAGTAAAGGAGTTAAGTTTAATAAAGTAAACAGTTGGCTATGTAGCAATAGCAAAACTTAAAAATAGCTCCTTTAAGGCACATTATGTGGGCTACATTTCTAATTAGCAGTTATGCTGTAATGGTTGAGTTTAGGACAAATCAGGACATATCAGTTGTTAATCAAGTTACCTAGTTCTGCAAAAAACACAATTTCTGTGATCTGTAAAATGTAATTTTTTTTGTTGAAACTGTCAGACAGCCCTGGTTCAAATCTTAGGTATTTTTGAGGCTGTGGTTGAGTTGTAGTTGAGTGCTTTACAATGAAAAGTATTCCCAATATTTTGCTAACAAAGATGGATATTCTAAGCTTCATAATAGTATTTTTACTGACTGTTGTATTTGATTGCATTATTTTCTACACAGAGAACCTGTACCAGGGAACAGACCATTTGCCTGTAATACATTGTGTTAAGGTTATGGGCTAATGAATATGGTCAATAAGTCCTCAATAGTATAGTAACCTTACTTTGAATGCATGTATGTGTTTGCTTTGCCTTTTCAGAGTCAAGTGTTTCGCTGACACCAGTGAGTTGCAGGTTAACGTCCATGAGAGATCGTCCAAGCGCTCCACTGTCTCCTCCTCTCCTCTGTCCGTCCTGTCAGAGGCTTCAGATGTGATCATAACAACACAATCTCAAAAACCACATCAAAGTAGAAAATGAAACTAGAATAATATAATATTACAAAGACTATGACCCCTGCTTCCCAACTCTGCTCCCTTCGATCAAACCCCCCATTAATACATTAATTACTATAATATGTGACAGAGTTTGTCATCCTCTGCACAGTGGCACCTTTAGAATAGAATAACTTTTACTAATAATACAATTATTTGTTGTTGATATCAGAGTATCAAAGCTGTATGGCGGTAAGAAGAGATAGAGAGGTCTCATCTCAAAAAGCACCCTGTGCTCTATTGGAGTAAACATCGTTAAACACGGCACAGGCTCACGGGCCCACACACCCATGTAAGGCGTCGTAAATGTAGCAGTCGAGTGTCCCTACGGAGTATAGAGATTAGGGTGCTATTTGAGACTCGATTAGAGATACAGCGAATGTAAGCACTGGAAGCGGATGGATATGGCATGCATGATTTGAAAGGTCAATGCTGACATGGCTCATGGATGGCAGTTCTGAACTTTGACCCCTCAGGACAGACCCTCAGGATCCGAGGGGGCCTTGATGTGCTGAGCTACATAGCTACTACTGCTGAGTCAGCGTACTGCTGGAAATCCTATGCTGAAAAGAGTATTTAGAGCAGCGAACCTATGATCTAAAGCTAACCTGGAGGCCATGATACACAGGAAACATGTTAAGTAATATTTGGCATCAAGTATGATTAGCAATATTTTGCTGATATATGTTAGATCCTTAAGCTAACTCAAATAATTATAAATTTTTTTTTATCCTACCTTACTTAAGGCAATATTTTTCATTTCTAATTATTCAGAAAGTTATGCATCTAACCTACAGTTAGCCAAAAAGCAGCTAAAGGCTAACCAGTAGCTAACATGTCCTAATGAGCAGAAGAGTACAGTTGTTGCTTTTTATCTACCCCGCTTCTCTTTTGCATGAAGCATTTTATAACGTTAGTTAGCTATTCAGCTGGTTTAAAAACAGTTGTTCCTGTGCAAATGTACTTTGCCGTTCCTTCCCGCCCTCCCACATAACACCCTTAAAACGATGTCTCTGCAGCGCTGAGCATAAAAAGCCCTTGTGTGCTCCTGTCCTTTAAAAATTAAAAGCCCTTGCTTGGAGAAAAGCAGTTTTTTCCCTTTCACAGCCCATGACAACTGCTGATGTTGTAGTTAGCTTGCAAAATTAATATTTACATGTGGAGGACAGCAAGAGCAAGTCCATACTGATGCACATTTGTCCCTTTAAGCTCCCTTTATGGCGTAAAAGACAGGAGATAAAACAGCACTGTCATAAATTAAACAGTATGACTGAGGTTTAAAACATCTTTTATTATCAGGGTAATAACTGTCAAAGTTGTGGTGTAATGGTTTTAGCTTGGTGTTGTTTCATATTTAGTTTATACAAAACAGTGCAATGGTGGCTTAGGGAGGTAACGAAGCAAACAAAAATGCATTTTTCTTTTCCTCTTTGAGTTTCACACTCACTTGTTAATCACAGTTCCAGAAAAAATTTTGAGAAAAATGCTGTGAACATTTACTAGCTACTTGTGTTCTCTCTCCATAACCCTGCTGCATGTTTTCCTCCCCTCAGTTTCTTCTTTCTCTCTGTTGTGTGGCTATTTTACCTCCTTCTCACCACACAGCCCCTCCCCTTGTGTGTGCATCTACATGTTGACGTGTGTATGATCAGGTGTAATGTGATGTGATGTGTGTTTTGGGTCTTTGTATATGTCGCATCAAGCTTGGAGATTTACTTACTTATCATTTGCCAACAATTGGTCAGAGGTAGCGATAGATTACCAGTGGAGAAGTGGCTGTGTGTAAACAATAGCTACATATACAGTATGTGGTATAACCATAAAAAGCCTGATAATGTGCAGTTAAATTACTGAAACAACTCTCAGTCAGGGTCGATGGGGATCTGATCAGTTTCCAGTCAAAAACAACGCAGTATTTAACATATCTGTTCATTCAGATTTGTATATTTTTAGAGACACAATAATCTGAAAGCCACAGCGGCCCAAGACATCCAATACATCACCTCAATGACATCAGCTAACAGAAAAATTTGAGTTTTATTGACGTTTAAAATGAGATTGAGGCTGGCTCGTTTGTGTCTCTCCTCTTATCTTATCTCTCATTTTGTATTATTCATCAAATGGATCCAAGCTTTCTGTTGTGCTTCCCAGTCAAAGACCGGCTCTTTTTTTCTGCACTGCTCTTCTCGCAGGACTTCGGATCACATGGGCACTAGAGTCTGCACCAAAACATTTCACAATAAATCACGTGAATCTCATATTGATGTGTCTGATCTACTTTTTGTTTTTAATCCAGATCAAATCTAAACCAAATCTAAGATCACACCTGCCCAATGTATGTTAAAATGCTTTTAGTCAGTAGTTGATATTTGTTGCTTTTTAACTCATCCGTGCAGTATGTTAATGTGTATATGTCTGAGAGAGAGCAAGAGAGAGAGAGATAAACAGAAATGTATTGATGTGTCTCTAGAGTCTGTTACAGTAAAAACTGTACAGGTGTTTGAAATATGATAGGGCCATGGCTGTCTGTGGATGTCACAGCCGGGAGACATTTGACAGACGTGTTTAGGTGTGTGTGTGTGTGTATTTGTGCAGTGTGTGTGCACATGTAAGGGAGATAAAAAGGAGGAGAGGCTGTGAGTGACGGCTGAATGAATGGAGCACAAATCCTTTGAATAATGCAGCTCCATCTATCTATCTGAAAATTGTGCGACACATACAATTTTCGTTTTCAATCCTCCATTGGAGAAGAGAGATGTGTACTTTAGACTGAAGTGAGCATTTTCTCAGCGTTTGTTTCTGCAGCTGAAATTTTGACAATTGTTCTAGCAAGTAAAGACAACTTTATATTAAATGAATCTGATAGATATTCACCAAGAGGTAGTGGGCAAACAAAAAGTCCATCTCTTGTTTGTTTAATGTCTTTTTGGCTCTGCCTTAAAGCATATTCACAGCTCAGCGGTCTCCCCTCCACAGTACCCCGAACCAACAACCTCCAGAAAACGTGACTAGTCTACGAGCGACAACAACGGAAGACAGGACCTAAATCTAGTGGAGTGTCCCTCAGAGGAAAGAGAGGGTGAGAGGAGGTGTGCAGAGGGCGGCAGTGAGGTGAGTTATGGGGGGCTACACAGAAAAATGTGGAAGATGAAAGGTGATGAGTGAAGGCAGACAGACAGACAGACAGACAGATAGATAAATATTTGATCATCTCTTTAAGCTTTAGGTGAAAAAATAAATCAAGAGAAGACTTGTGTGGCTGAAAGGAGGAGTAAAAGGAAGCACCAATGATCTAACATTACCCTAAAAGAGACTCATTAGTGTTGTTGAGTCACACCTTTTCCCCAATAGCAGCTGATCTGCAGTCAGTTTACTCTTTCCCCTTCATAAAAAAAAAAAATCCCTTTGCAGGTTTAACAACTGACCTGGGAGAAGATGGGGGGTAAATGTTACCAGGAATGAGCTCAATTCAGTTTCAGTTCAGTCGGTAATGAAGTGAGCTTTTCCATCATTAAAAATAAAATCAATCATTATGAAAGGAGAATATATACAATATGTATAGAAAATAATAACTAGTGCCACAAATGTGCTGCCGTAACATGGACAAACTACATCTTCAATTCATATTTTGAATTTCAGCTGAACTGAAAATGAATCAATCCCTATCCTGAGGTGTTAACTCCCTCACTTTTAAATAGCATTGAAATAGCAGAGCACCCTGCACTGATCCAACTCTGCTGCTATCCAAAAGGTCAGGAGGACGGAGGTCAGAAGGTCAGAGATCACTCTCACCTCTTCCCTCTTCTCCTTTAGTTCACATTATTTTCATTTTTAGGAGAAGTTGCACCAGACAGTGAACCACTTACAATATGCTCTTAAACTTTTTCTTAAGTTCAATTCTGTTTCCCTCTTGAAAAAGTCAATTTATGAACATAAAAATCATGAACATAAATTGAATGTGCCTTCATATGTAAGGAGTTACAAGTACAACTACAGTGATATGTGGTAAAGTGGAGTTGGGATCAACTTCTCCATCAGAACCGACCCTGCTACACACACTGAATCTCTCACAGGGCTCAGGATTCACAGTTCAAAGGCTAAAAGTTCACAGTTCACAGTCGAAGTTTATCAAACCCCTTTCCCACCCCGTAACCCTGTGTGGCCCCTGCTTTTGCCGGCACTCCCCCTGTATTTCTCATCATCATCCTCTTTGATACTCTGATTGGGCGATATCTGCAGCCAGCACCTCTCAGACAGGTGTGGTCCTGCGGTTGGGGTCCTTGCTGTAGTCTTTAGTGAGCGTGCTGCTCTGGAGGAACTCCCTCTCTGAGTTGAGCAGCCCGCCCATGCCGCCACCTGCTTTGCTGCCGGCGTTGCCCGCCTCGCGTGGGTTCAGCGTGTACATAGGCATCTCGGAGGCGGCAGGCCCCGTGTAGCCACCTTTCCCCAGGGGTGAGGCGTCACGGCTGGGGGCCTCGGACGAACGCACGCTGGAGCGACGCCGGAAGCGGTAGCGATAGGAGGGGATGCGGCTGAAGGCGGATTTCTTGATGAGCTCGGTGCGGGACTTTGCTCGTAGCTTGCGGTGCTTTTCAATGAACATGTGCACGGCCAGCACGCCTACCATTTCTGCCATGATGAAGGAGAGGGCGCCAAAGTAGAAGGACCAGCCATAGGAGTAGGACTTCTTGCTGTCGCTCTGGCCCGGGTCGCCCGAGTTAGCTGAGATATAGACAATAATTCCAATGATGTTACTGAGGCCTGGAGGGGAAGAAAGAGAGGGAAAAATAATAGGAGATTGGAGTGACCTACGTGAGGCTGCACAAGGGTGCTTTTAGCTAACTGCTAAGTCAGTATGCAAATACGCTCACATGCTAACATGTTGATGTTTAGCAGGTATAGCAGGTATAATATTAGTATACTAATAGTTTTTTAAAATTGTCATCCATGCTGCTGGCATGACTAAAGCACTCATGTTTGTTTAGAAATCACAAAGAGGGAGTGAGGGAGTGGCAGAGTAGTGAGAGCAGCGGAGAGAAGAGGTTAGAGAGGAGCAGTGACGGTGAGACAGCCAAACGAAATAAAGAACAGTAAAGAGAGGGGAGCATCAGAGAGAGGGAGTGGAGCTTGATAGAAACACTGGAGAGAGTCATTGCACACAGCTGGGCTCTCTTATTCCATATCATTAGTCCACAATACAGTGTTCATGCAGTGTGGTGGAACGCACAGAATGGGGACAATTAGCCAGCTGTAATTAACCAGAATCAGCCCCACACTATTGTGGTAAATAATTACCAATTTGGCTTCATAAATTTACGACAAATCCCAATGGGACCCTACACATCCCACTGAACAGCAATTACCGCCTTTTGTGTGTCAGGGGCTAGAGCATAAGTGTGTGTGTGTGTGTGTGTTTATGAGAAACCGTAAATAGATAATGTGTGTGAGTGTGTGTGTTTGCACTCTCACACCCTCACAGTGCATCACAGCGGCATCATGGTATTCTTGCTGATTGATTAATCAGCTGCTGTGTCCAGTTTCCACAGTGCGACTCCTTACACTCAGGCTCTTCTGTGTGTTTTAGATGCCTAATGGGCTCCTTCAACAAATATTTGAGTGCTGCACGTTCTCTGTTTCAAGTGGTTCCGCAGTGACACAATTACACACACTCATAGACACATACACACAATGTAGCCCGTATCTCGAATGTAGTGGACACCCTTGTATTTAAATGCTGTACAGGTTTTTAAGCCCCTTGAGGCATATTTGTGATTTGTGATAATGGGCAATATAATTAAAATTTGACTTGACTGAAACCACAATAAAATTTGGTCACATTGGGGAGATTAAATAGGGCTCATACCATTTTTTCGCACTATTTATTTAAAATTTCTTGAACAATTATAAAAATACCTTTATTAGAATATAAGAAAATCAGCAGCATGTAGCATGTAATGAGCACAACTTTTTGATACATAGCAACATAGAAATCAGGGGGAAACACAAACACTATGGTGATACCATTTTATATCTACTGTATGACTGTGTGCTCTCATTTTTCATCATTTTGAGAACTTAATTACTTTCATGCATCCTGTAGGGAAATGAGTCCATTACAGTGGCACAAGTAATAGGAAACATCAATATCATGGAGGAAAAAAAATAAAAAAAATAAGCAGAAAATAATATACAAAAAATATTAATTAAGTGACTTTAGATAGTGACATCAGTATGATACAAGTTTAGCAGCATATGTAGCCAAGAAGGTTAAAATGAGCCGATTCTTAGTTAATAACCAAGGATTTTCTTCCTAAATTGAACCTGATCAAGGCTTTACATATAAGCTTAATGAAGAAAAATGCCTTTATGCTTAGACCTACTTCATATACAATGGTGCACTGATGACGGGTAACCACTGTACTTCCCCTCTTATAGAACAAAGACACAAATTCAAACAAACACAAACACACACACACACACACACACACACACACACACACACACACACACACACACACACACACACACACACACTAACCTGCGGAGACGAAGAAGATTCCTGCACTGAGGATGACGTTGTGTCGGCTCCGGTAAAACTCACTGGCGGCCACACAGAGCCCCCCCAGGAACAGCAGGCCCACGCTCATGATGGGGAAGATACTGGAGGCACGCACAGCACCTGCACACACACGAAAAAGAGCGGAAATATACCTATAACTGAAAAGTACAAACACGTTTGCTGTGGAAAGATGTTGCCTCTCAGACCTCACAGAATGAAACTGATGATGGATGATTTGTGTTGGAGGTGCAGGATGGAAGAGACAGCTTTCCTACATTGTGTATATATTTTGGTTCAAAGTTAGAACCAGTAATACCTTTGACTCCTGATTTACATTTTGGGGACAGAGCTCAATTGCCAAATATACATCAAAAAGTGCATTTTCAGTTGTTATTGTGGGTATGAACACTGCCTCCAGAATTGTGTTAAGGTTTTGGAAAATAGATGAAGATTTGTGAATGTGACAGTTTTCATCAGGTTTGTATGTTCCTTATTTCTATTCATTCATAAGTTTCTTTTTTAGTTTTCTACACCATGTTTTCCAGTATCTCCTGTGATGTAAAGATCTACTTGCTGATATATACCAACCTTTTCTTTACAATCAATTTGTTGCTTGTGATGAATATAATCATGTTGCGGCATTGGTGAATTGAAATTAAAGTACAAAAAAAAACAGATCTCTGAAAATGCTGCCATCATCTACTCTGCATTTTACTAATGAATTCAATTCACTCTTTCTTCAGCTTCACACGGGGTGGCAGTTTCTGAACCCGCAGCCCATGTGTGTCTTCTTTCTTTTCATGTTCAATTATCTGAGAATCAAATAAATTTTGATGGGTTGGATGTTTAATGGCCTTTGTTTATTCATCCTGCATCTTGACCCGATGCCCATGGTGATAGTGAATCAATTCTGAATCTCCTACTTAAACATCCTGTTTTGCGGTAAATCTGCTGGTTTGCTTTATGGCACCATGCAGGAGGAGTACACGTCTCAAAATAGCAGATGGTGCACTGTACTAAGCAAAGACCCTGTGTAATATATATAATATATCCCACTTTTAATATTTGTAGAGAGGAAAAAAAGAGACAAGCAACAAGAAACAAGCACACCTACAACGGTCCACCATGTATGTATGGTAGAGAGATGTGAACACCATTTTATTCGCTATTTTAATGTCATAGGCACAATCCACTGTGTTGAAGGACAGAGCTACTTTACACACACACACACACACACACACAAGACACACAAAAACACATGAGCCAGTGTGCTGCGACATGCTTGACTGAATCTGAATCCAGAACATGTTAAAGCATTCAGAGGGAGAGAGCGAGAGATAGAGAGAGAGAGAGAGAGAGAGAAAGAGAGAAAGCAAGAGGGACAGAGGGATGTAGAGGAAAAATATGGACAAAAACCAAGACAGATGGAGAGCCGCACTGACACATATGCAAGGCAAAATGATAAGTATGAAAGCGAGGCTGCAGTTGGAGTGAAATATTTGCCAGAACCCCATATGTCTGCATGATGTGATAGCATATTGAAGGATATTTGCAAACAGCTTGTCATGCAGAACAGAGATGTGTGGTATTGTTTAGATATCTTTAAAAGCTGACATGTACTTAAATGTACATATATACACATGTATCCAGCATATAATGTGTTTCTAATCGTAAATCTGTTTTCTTTATGTCCTGTTACATTCCAAAACACATCCCGTATGACTGACAGCTGCTGTGACCAGTGGCGTCGTGTGGTTGAGTGTACAGGCCCCGCCCCTGTGGCCCACACCCCTGGGCTGTATGAAATGCCGGTCACTAGGTCCCCGCTCCCCATTGGTTGGCCAGCTCTGAGGCCTGTGATCTAATTGGCTGCCTCTGGGGATGTTGCTCTGTGTTCAGTGGAGCAATGAAAAAGAAGCACAGGCTGAATCCATTTTCTTTTTCTTTTTTTTGTGTGTGGCTGTTTTCTCATTCCATCCATCTTTACTCTATGTTTACTGTGGGAGAAAAAACAGAGAGCCCCCTCCTTTCTGTTTTCCACTAAACCACCCTCTGTCTTTGAGGCTGCATCCCTTTTCACTTCTGTCATATTACTCTTTTGATACATCTAGAAATAATAAGGTGCTTCCTTTTTCCTCCTTTGTCATTTTCTTGCCACAGCAATGTTTTTTCCCCCTCATTTTTCTTATTTGCTGATAAAACTCTGGCAACTGTTTGTATCTCTTGTTCTCTCCATTATACCTGCAGTCCATCTATCTCCTTGTTTCTGCAGGTGAAAGCTAAACAACACATGTAGGACCTCCCTTCCATCTATTCATTCATCTCTGTTTTATCCATCTCATCTATAATAATTTACTCTCAACTCAAAACTCCTCTCCACAGAGGGTTCATTTTCAAATCAATTCAATTAAAGTTCAGAATGATTACAGTGGAGGTAAAAAACGAAAGTCTGCCCTGTGGTGGCGCTCGAGGAAAGTCCACATGATCATCAAAGGTATACGCCAGGGCTTTCATTTTGCTCTCGGAGACATCCCAACTTTTAGTCTCCATGGTCAAGCTCCAAAAAGCTGGATCCTACACTTCCCATGATTCAACTTGATAGTGTCTTTCATTGCACCGTCCTCGCCTGAAAATACTTAAAAAATACCCGTTTCAAGCCCTGCACCACATGTAATGCAGGCTTTTCACAAAAAAACCCTGTAGTCTCACATCTCAACCAAATATAACTGTAAAAAAAACACATTATAGAAGTGGATCTAAGAACTGGAAAAAAGGTTGTTTGAATGAAATATATCACCATGCTTCATTCGGAGAGCTTTGCTTACTTTTTCAAAGGGTTACAGGAATTTTGGGAGCTAAAAATAAGGTAACAGGCCAGTAAAAGCGGAGGCCAGCTGCAAACATTTCCGTGTGTGTGTACGCATGTGTACACGTGTTGTGTTTGTGTGTTCATATCAAACTTACGGAGGAGGTATTCAGCAGCATCCGCTTCATAATCAGCATCCTCTGGAAAGTGATCAATCTTCTTACACACTCCTCTGTATGTCCCTGCAGAGGAGAAACACAGATCAGTTCCTTTACTGTCCCACAAGAGGAAATTCTGAGTCAGTGACATACTATTTCTTCAACTTAAAAACATACACACACTGGATTTCCACTGTTCATGCTAATATTAAATATTTTAAACTGTGCATTTCTACCCATCATGCTGTAGATCAGAAGTCTTCAAATCACTTTCTGAGCAGTGACCCAAGATTAACAAACCAGGAGAGGACAAAACCTTATGTCATGTAATTACTTTGTTATGAGAAGTTGTATCTTTTAACAGGGTGTTGCTTTGCCTTGCACTCATTTCTGTAAGGTCTCAAATGACAGCTTACTTTAATGTTGCACTCACTGTCGATGGATCAAAATGAGTATTAAATGCATTAAATGCAAAATGTTAAAATTTTTTCTTGTTATGAAAGTCAGTCACTGATTTGGATTGTTGGATTGAAATATTTTTACAGTAATCAGTCATCACCTTGTGTGATTGTGCTGCAGTATGAGTGAACATACACATCATGTATGGAGATATGAAAATACACCAAAAGCAGAAAAAACCAGCACAGAGAGAGAGAGAGAGAGAGAGAGAGAGAGAGAGAGAGAGAGAGATGACAGATGATGCAGAGCAGGGCTGTAGCCTTCAGGCTATGTGTGGGAAACACTAATGAAAAGCCTTATCACACCCAGCACACACACACACACACACACACACACACACACACACACACACACACACACACACACACACACACACACACACACACACCACTTTTAATACAGACACACGCAGCTACTGAAATACAGACATTACATTTACACACACATCAAGCAAGCTCATTAAACTGATACATGAACACTATCAATCATGCATGTAAGTAAAAGTCTTCAGCCTTCTGTATCTAGATAGTACATATCAGTGTATGTCAGTTAGTGTGTGTGTGTGTGTGTGTGTGTGTGTGTTTGTGTGTGTGTGTGTGAGAGAGAATTGTATTGACGAGGATGCAGTCTCCTATGAGCGTGCCGTGTGTCAGGCAGAGTGACTCATCCTCCTTTGTACAAGACCTCCTCAAACACACACACACACGCACGCACGCACACATCCATTATGCGCTTTCATGTGGAAGTGTGTTTCTCTGTGTGAGCATGAACCTGCTGTACGTGTGTATGTGTGCCTGTTTGTGTGTGTGTGTGTGTGTGTGTGTGTATACACTGCATGCAGCTTCATTCCCACCCATCATTCAGTCCCATTCGCACATGGTCAACACCACAGGGGATATGAGAGAGAGAGGGGGGAGGGGGGACTGACGGGGGATGAAGGGGAAGAGGAGAGAAAGGAAGATGAAGGAGGATGAAGAGAGAGGAAATGCTGGTTGAAAGAGGTTTGGTGGTAAAACGGCACGGGGGAATTAGAGAGAAATGGGAGGATAGAGGCTGGTGAGGAACAAATGAACGACTCAACCTAATTGCTTATTTGCATATGAAGAGGTTCTTTCCAGTACCCACACTCAGAAAATCATTCATAAATTGATTCATCTCGCTCATGCAGTCAGGGATAGTAACTAACCTCTGACTGAGACTCTGATACGCTTGTAGCCGACAGTCTTTGATATCTAGAATTAATAAAGTAATATTCTGTAAACTTTTCATATGAATCAAAGTCCCTTACACTGAGCGTTACACTACTAATTCAACAAACACACACAAGTGTATGGATAGCATCATCTTTGCACACGCTCTTAATGCTGTAATCCATCCAATTCATCCTCTCATTCATAATTTTTCTGCTTTTGTGGTTGAAAATAGAACCACCAGGCTAACAAAGGAAAACCAAGAGAAAATCATATCTGGAGATTTGATTTTCTCACTGCATACCTACACATGATTTAAAAATGGATGCCATGGCTGTGTACTTAAATCAATCTGCTTTGGACAGTGGTGGCACAGGGCAAACACAAGGAGATTTCTTCTTTTCAGAAAACACACATACTGATGTTTGGAAAAACAACTAGAGCTGCAACAATTTGTCCAGTAAATCAATTAGTCAATCAACAGAAAATGAATCAGCAACTATTTCCATAATTGATTAAAGTAATGTTTTATTAAAAAAAAAAAGAAGCTAAAATTCTCTGGTTGTAATTAGTCAAATGGAAATATTTTGGGTTGGTAACGATGGAACAGATAATATCAAAAGTGTAGGACAGGTTAAAGCATAAGCCTGCTGTGATTCTATATTTTGCTTACTGTCAACAAACCCCATAAAAAGGCCTAAACCAACAATGCATCAGTTTTTCTCTTAATACTTTCTGACTTCCTAACCCTGTGTGGCTGTCAACCCCCGAGCCCACAGGTTCCTACTGAAGACAGACGGCGAGTCTATAGTTTCATTTACTCGAACGGGAGTAAATTTGTGCATTTTTCTGAGAATATTTTCAGACGAGGGCTAATTCATATTTGTTGTGTGTAATGAGTATTTCAGGCAGCAGAATGGTTTATGTAGGTTTGACTCAAAAGAAGTGCACATGCTGACTGTAATGGAGGAACGTGTCCCCCAGTCCAACGATGTGACTCATTGATGTGTTTTTAATAGTTTTCAGTGGAGGAATAAGCTAAAGCTACACTGACACTATTTCTCAGTGGGATCAGTTTTTTTTTTAAATGAGATTTGTTGACAATAAGAAAAATGCAGAATACTGCTCAGCTGATCCTGTAATGTGGCCTCGTTTAATTGGATGATAAAAGTAGTGGAGTCACAGAAGGTAAATGTAACCATAGATGTTCCTGTTGGATGCATCAAAGTGTAAAGCATCATCAGTCAGAGCTCTGCCTTGTGTTTACCACCTGGGAAATTCATTATACCTCCTGCCTTTTAAATGGACGGATTTGTATTGAACCATTCTGATTTATAGAGCAACAAACAGCTTCAAACAATGACATACCAGTGAATTGGCACACACACACACACGCACACACACACACACAGAGAGGATATGGCTGCTTTCTCTCGGTGGCCTAAATCCCAACTGAATAAAAGCAGACACATGCGCACACACACACACACACATACACACACACACACACACACACACACACACACACACATTCAAACACACACACACACCCTCATTAACACACACAATTCTGTGTTAGTGTACCTGATGATGTCACACTATTACTGTCTTAAAAATAAAGATGGCCTGCTAAAAACTCGAATTGCAGTGACTTGAGACTTGTTTATTCGTCAGCAGGATTATGCAAAATGTACTGAACCGATTTGCACCAAACTTGGTGGAGGGATGGGGCATGGGCCAGAGAGGAACCCAGTCAATTTCATAGCAGATCCGGATCAATTACTATGACTTTGAATTTTTTTCTATGAAGTTTGGTGTACGTTGGGCATGGGGTGGCTAATCGGGAGGCACAGAGATTCCCAGTGGACTGTTGTGGTTGGTGGGCTGCGAAGATGAGAGAGGGAGGGAACAAGAGAGAGCAAGAGGGAGAGAGATCAATACCGCTGTGCGTGCTGATCAGCCCACAGGGCAGGCTCAGCGGGCTGATCACTTGGTGGTAGCTGCTTGGGTCAAACCTCGCTTAAAGGTCTGGTGTCTGGTAATATTGACCTGCTTTTATAGACTTTCCTCCTCAGGAACCAATGGGCTTATAGATCTGAGTGCCTCAGACACAAAGTATTAGGAGTTGGTCTGCAAACTCAAGATGTTTCATGAAATTTGATGCCAGTAACAAACATATAAAATAACACCAGCCTCATCATTAGTGTATTTTATTGGTTTCAGTTGTATAAAAAGGTTTCATTGCTGTACTTTCACCAAGAAGTTATGTTCCTGGACCTGGCCACAGCTGAAGGGACAAATTAGCTGCTTTCATAAATAGGGCATTTGAAGCATTTCTCCTGAATCACTGCATTTAGATTTTCTGTGACTGTTCGGCTTTATTATTTTATTGATTTATTGGATTCCGCCTCCTTTGCAGTCATTTTAGATATTAATCTCTGTATTGTGTATACATTCATACATTCTTTATACTCCTCTTTGGTTGCACAGGTGGCCCTAAGCGTATCCCAGCATGCACTTGGTGGGTTGTAAGCAAGCAGCTTAGACAGGTTGTCAACATATAGTAGGATAAATATGAACCATGAATGAATCAACATTTTTTTTTCTTAAATGGTCCAAAAAAAAAAAAAAAGTAGCTGTCTAACTGTCTAACTGTCTGAATCAGCTCAATCAACCGAACAGATACAGGTACCACTGTCTGTATGTGTGTGTGTAGATGGGTGAGCATGTATCGCATACTGCTCAGCCCTCTCTAAGGTTTTGGTGAGCTACCTCCAAATGCTATATCAGTGAGTGAGTCAGTAGCTGTCACACAGGCTTATGTCAAGTGTCACAACCAGCTCATGATCCCATCACAGAGAAACCAGCACAAAACCCAGGCCACAGGGTACTTAAGGTTTGCTTATGTTCCCCTAGCTAACGCTTGTTACTTCCTGTTTAATTCTAATGAATGATTTCAGGGAGGGTAAATCATTTTGTCTATTTCACACAGAAGCCCCTCCCAGAGACCAGCACAAAACTAAACAAAAAGAGAAAATGTGGATGCAAAGGGAGTGTGTGGCATGTACAGTAAAATACAATGGAAGCCACTCAAATGGATGGTTACAGTAAAACCATTCAATGTGGGCTGAACACATGGGCTGAATAATTAAAATACCACGTTTCCTCTGAAAGAAAATCTGTCTATCTCTGTTTTGAAATAAACAGATCACTAACCATTAAGACCACTCAAATGGACACAAACAGGTTTATGTCATTCAGGGTAGGATAGTACACTATTATTTTTTAATCTGTCATTCATATTTCTTTGCTTTAAGAATTTTTTAATTTCCTAAAATTTCACTCAAATCTGCACACATCCAAATCTCTTCCTGATGGCTTACTGATAAGAGTCTTCTAATTGATATCCATTATGAAGACACAACACAAGCAGAA